CCACAACGCCTGGCCATTTTTTGGTTGCAACTGTCATTGTTGTTTGGCGGGCCCAGGCTGGATTTGAACCCACTGCCACCTTAGGTGTACGTGGCTGGTGCCTTAGCCACTTGAGCCACAGGCGCCGAGCCAAGGTTTAGGTTTTAAAAGCTGTCTCCATAATTTAATACATTTGGCAACTTAAAGCCTCAGCTCATGTTGTGTTCTTTCTGTCTGACAAGATGATAGATCCTATTTAGTAATGATTTCTTCCTCTTCCTCCTCTTCCAAAAACACTGAAGCTTTCACAACCAGTTTACAAAAATAGGAATACTTATCTTATTTGTCTTTCTTTCTTCTAATTCTTGGTAAAGAAGAAAAAAGTACAATACTAGCCAGACATGGTGGCTAGTAATCATAGCACCTGTAATCATAGCACTTTGGGAGGCTGAGGTGGGTGGATTGCTTGAGCTCAGGCGTTCAAGACCAGCCTGAGCAAGAATAAGATCTCATCTCTACTAAAAATAGAAAAACTAACCAGGCATTGTTGCAGGTACCCATAGTCTCAGCTACTCAGGAGGCTGAGGCAAGAGAATCACATGAGGCCAGTTTAAGGTTGCTGTGAATGTGAACCACAGCATTCTACCCAGGGTGATGGAGTAAGACCTTTGTCTCAAAAAAAAAAAAAAACCCCTGAAATTTAATCACTATTCGAAAAGTCTTCACAAAGACATTAAGCACTATTTTCTATTTTTTAAGTAAGTTTATCTGAAGAGCAGGGTAAGAGCACTGAAATCATTTAAACAATTTCTTCTTCCTTCATTCCCAATGTAAAACAGTTTTTATGGGAATATGGGCAGGGCTGACGTGACCATTTGAGAAGAATGTAACTGGTAATCCCTATGGCATGTGTATTCTTGTTTTTGTTTTCAGGTATCATTTGACCTTTAAGTGCCTTCAAGTTTATTTGCCTTTTAGTAGAAATTTTTGTTAAAATGTTTCCAGAATTTCATGTATCATTCTTAAATTATTTTAACTAAGGTCAGTTCAAGGTGTCAATAACATTACAGTGTCTCAGAGCCAGGAGGTATTCTCACTGTGACTCTTGGGGCCATTTTGAGTTTTTCTGCATCTACAAATGGATGCTGCCTGGAAGGAGTGTCAGGAATATCTTCCTTTTGTGGAGATCTCACTGCCAGGAAGGGAAATATTCCTATTGGGAAATAGAGATAATGGAAGACGAAGAGAGAGCATTTACCACATTGACCCTGAGTCACATTATTAGGCTTCTAGAAAGGCTCAGTGTCACCTTGACTACCCGCTTAGGAGTGTGGATGTTGAACCAGAACAGTGCACCAATAGAATAGGAAGGTTCAGTTCCATGGAATAATCTGTATCTTTACTAAAAGCTGGGAATCTTTTGGCTAAATTCCCAGCCAATTGAGTAGGGGCAAGTCAAAAAATTGCTTTTCCTAAAATCTTTTCTTTATGCCTAGATGATGGATCATCTGGACGATGGAACAAGTGAAGAAAATCCTGTGGCTGCTAATGAACAGCATCAATAGTATGTGGACCTGCAATCATGTGTCATTGATTTTCTACAAACAGGATTTGACTTTTTTAATCAACTTTTGAATTGACAGTCTGAAAGAATCATCAACGACATGCTTGCAAGCATATATTTTTATGATCTGGTACTTAAAATTACATCAAAAATAACTAAAATACATTTCCTTTTAATATTGTTAAAGTTGTGCCTTCACATTAAATAAAAGCATATTGTCTGTGTAGTTACTGAGATATATATATATATATATACATACATATATATATACAGTATATTTTTTGGAAAAAATGCTTTGATCCACCCTTGTACTTTTTCTTACTGAAATCTGAGTTTTTTCCAACTCTGACAGATAAACATATTACTGTCAAAGAGAATTTCTGAACAAATTTTACTGTTAAAGAATCATGCAGATTTTATCTGCTTTGTAGAAATTACATTTTAAGACCATGCAAGATGGCAGGTCAACAGCGAAAATTTGGACTTTAAATCACTGCAGAGCTTAGACATATATAATTTTAGAATAAATATAAATGCATATTTTTATAGTATAAGTCTAAAAAAATACCTTTTTTAAACTTGAGAACTTAAGTCACTTCAGACTGCATATGTATTATATTAGAATATTTTTCTAGGTATAGACAAATATAATATATAGAATTAGTCACTAAAACAGAAATCCAGTTTTCAGTGGTCTGCTATTTCCCTGAAGGCATAGCTTAGATTTCTATACTAATATTCAGTTTCACTTTAGTATTTCTTATCTTTGAAATTCAGTTGTGTTGATGGTAAAGTTTGATCTTTTTAAAAAGTTTTTTCTTAAGAAATTATTTCCCAGCCAGGCACAGTGACTCAGGCCTGTAATCCTAGCACTTTGGGAGGCCAAGGCGGGTGGATAGGTTGAGCTCACGGGTTCAAGACCAGCTTGAGCAAAAAGCGAGCCCCTGTTTCTACTAAAAATAGAAAAACTGAGGCAAGAGGATCACTTGAGCCCAAGTTGGAGATTGCTGTGACCTATGACAACATGGCACTCTACCCAGGGTGACAGCTTGAGACTGTCTCAAAAAAAAAAATTATTTCCCAATACATATGACTTATTATTTGAGTACAACGGACATAACTATCCCCCATCACCACCTTTTTTTTGCTCTGCCTCCTACTTCTGTCCCCATGGGTAATCACTATTAACCTTGGTGGAAGATGGCATTAATGTCCAAAGTATGGTTCAGAGGAAAGAATTGGAGACAAAATGCAAGAGACTGGATCTTATTCTGAGTTTAATTATAAGAGTCTTGAGTAATTTGTCTCAACGTAAGACACTTATATCTCAATTTTCTCATCTGCAGAATGAATAGGTTAGATCTGTTAATCACTCTGGTACTTTCCAACTGGAAAAACGTTCCTGTCCTTTTTTAGTAAATCTCAGATAGGGCCTTAAATATTCTCCTCAGAGTCAAAGATCAGGTCAAATTATCTTTCTATTATCTCTCTTTCTTTCTTTTCTTTCTTCTCTACTTTCTTTCTTCCTTTCAAGATGGCAGGGTCTTACTATGTTGCCCAGTCTGATCCCAAACTCTAGGCTTAAGCAATCCTCTTGCCTCAGCCTCCCAAGTACCTGAGATCATAGACATGTGCAGACATGCCCAGCCATTTTCCTTAGTTTTCTCTAAAAATTCTCAAATAACAGGTGATTTCAAAGGCAGCAAGATGTTGTATTTCTCTGTTAAAAATGTACAAAATGTGTACAGATCTATTATCTTTCATTCTAAGACCAGTTCAACTTATTAAAAGATAAAATTAATGCTGTTGAAAATGGATCAGACCTTTGATGTTTGAATGAAATGTAGGACTAAATGCTTTTTGAAATTCTTAACTTTCGCTGAGTAAATCGCAAATACAGAAGCTCCATTGACAGCCACCCTTTCTGCTTACTACAGTTACAGGTCCATTGGGAGTTTTTATTCGTTTGTCTTTTGTCTTTGAGGTTTTTTTAGGGGCCATTTCCATTTTTGGAAATGGGCACATTTATTTACAGCAAGTGACTTAACTGACAAGTAAAGGTTAACCTGAAGTTTTCCCCATTATATCAAGTTTGAATTTTCTCCAAGGAATCTAATTTATTTGGCAGACTCTATTAGAGCAAAGAAGGGATTAAGTGCCATCTTAAAATTCCAACTATATTTTCATTTATAATATTAATAAAATATTTGCCAGAATATAGTTTTTCTTGTAAAGTTATCTGCATTCTCATCCCAGCTTTATGATATTCAAAAGCCTCCATCACATTTTATAAAGAATGTTAAAGAAAATTACGAGGGTGTGGTAGCTAATGTCTGTAATTCTAGCACTCTGGGAGGCCAAAGTGGGTAGATGGCTTGAGCTTTGGAGTTTCGAGACCAGCTTGAGCAATAGTGAGACCCTGTCTCTACTGAAAATAGAAGAAGTAGCAAAGAGAAGGTGGGCACCTGTAGTTCAGCTACTCCAAAGGCTGAGGCAAAAGGATTGCCTGAGTCTAAGAGTTTGAGGTTACTATGAGCGAGGCTGACAGCATGGCACTTTAGCCTGGGCAACAGAGTGAGACTCTGCCTCAAAAAAGAAAGAAAGAAAGACAATTACTGTTTTGTTTTTCTTTTTAAATAAGGCAGTTTCTCAAAATAATTTGATTTTATTGAAATTCTTAACTACTACTGGAGTAGTAGTAATTTATATTTTAATCTCATTGAAAAACACAATTTCAGAGCCAGGCATCGTGGCTCACGCCTATAGTCCTAGCATTTTGGGAGGCTGACACAGGTGGATTGCTTGAGCTCAGGAGTTCAGAGCAGCCTGAGCAAAAGTTAAGACCCCACCTGTAAAAACAGAAAAACCACCTGGGCACTATGGCACATGCCTATAGTCCCAGCTGCTTGGGAGGCTGAGGCAAGAGGATTGCTTGAGCCTAAGAGTTTGAGGCTGAGGGCCGGTGCAGTGGCTCACACCTGTAATCCTAGCACTCTGAGAGGGCAAGGCAGGTGGATTGCTTGAGTTCACAGGTTCGAGACCAACGTGAGCTAGACCGAGACCCCATCTCTACTAAAAATATAAAAAATCAAGGCAAGAGGATCACTTGAGTCCAAGAGTTGGAGGTTGCCCTGAGCTATGATGTCACCACAGCACTCTAGGGTGACAAGCATGAGGGTGATAGCTTGAGACTGTTTCAAAAAAATAAATAAAATTAAAAAGAGTTTGAGGGCTCAGCACCTGTAGCTCACTAGAGCTGGTGGGTTTGAACCCAGCCCGGGCCTGCCAAACAATGACAGCTACAACAACAACAAAATGGCCAGGTGTTATGGCAGGCACCTGTAGTCTCAGCTGCTTGGGAGGCTGAGACAGGGGAATTGCTTGAGCCCAAGAGTTTGAGGTTGTTACGAGCTGTGATGGCCAGGGCACTCTACCAAGGGCGACAAAATGAGACTCTGTCTCAAAAGAAATAGTGATATATTATGTTTATTAATAGTTTTTACAAAAATATTATTCTCAGAAAATCCCTATAAACATATTTGTGGTTTATCAGACAGAAATCACTATCTCAAATCATAATGTAGATTATTTTTACATCAGTTTAGTACAGCAAAAACACAAGGCTTATGGGGAAAGACCCTGATATTCTAATACATTATATTTCCTTCTAGCTTGTAGATTTTTTAGATTAGCAATTCTTGTTAGTAGAGTCTACAGTTTAATTCCCTTTTGAAAGAAGAGAATTGTTAACCTATCTGCTGTTGGCATTCGTATATTTTAATTATGTGTCCATATATTTTTGGTGAATTGGTACATTTATAGTAAATATGTGTACAAATGAACTTTCCAGTTTTCTTTGCTCTTTCAACTTATGCTTTAGGTATAAGCAAAAAAATATAAATATTCATTTGTTTTGAGAAAGAATCTCACTCTGTCACCCTGGCTAGAGTGCCATGGAGTCAGCCTAGCTCACAGCAAACGCACACTCCTGGATTCAAGTGATTCTCCTGCCTGAGCCTCCCAAGTAACTGGGATTATAGGCACTCACCACAATATCCAGCTAATTTTTCTATTTTTAGTAGAGATGAGGTCTTGCTCAGGCTGGTCTTAAACTCCTGAGCTCAAGTGATCCTCCAGGTTTAGCATCCCAGAGTGCTAGGAATACAGGTGTGAGCCCCTACTCCTGTCTGTAAAAATTATTTTTACATTTGACTAAAAAATGATCTGAATTAATTTAGTTAAGCTTGATCTCTAAAATTTCAGCCTGTTAGCCTGGCATTGTGGTGAGCGCCTATAGTCCTAGCTACTTGGGAGGCTGAGGCAAGAGAATCACTTGAGCCCAAGAGTTTGAGGTTGCGATGAGCTATGACACCATGTCACTCTACCGAGGGCAACATAGTAAGACTCTGTCTCAAAAAAAAAAAAAAAAAAAAAAAAATTCAGCCTGTTCTCAACCAATGAAATTTCAAAAAGACAGAAATTTTATTTCAGACTGTAGAGGAATGTATTGGTTTGAAAGGCTTTATAGTTATGGTTTCCCATTAACAAGGAAAAATTAGGTTGAATTTATTTAAGGTGATGCCAAATAACCAATTATACAGTTTAAAAGTTTTATTTTCAGTGCACTATTTACCTCAGAGGATAATTCTAGATGGGGCTGGGTGAGAGTAATGCAAATATAATCTAAATACTGAATATAAATCACTTTATGCTTCCTGGAAGAAAGATACTCTGTGAATTGAAGAGATCTGAATCAACCTCTTGTAATTTGATCCT